GGAAAAAAAGATCTGCTAAAAATAATATCAAACTAGACATTCAAATCTTTTTCTTTTTTTTTTGGATAACTGTAGTGTCTAGGCCAGCTTCTGCGCACCTCCCAAAGGATATCAAACTAGACATTTAAATCTTCTCTATTCAAAAGGGGTAGACACTTCTGTTTTTTGAATTCTAACCTCAAAACTAGTAGCCATTGCAAGTGGAGAAAGAACCATCAAGTCATCAACAATAGTAGCCATTGCAACTGATGAAGGAATTATTAAATTGAACGGCACCAGATTTAGTTTACTTTAATTCCATTTCCCTTGCATCACAATTTGAGATAGGACTAAAATGAAAACTAAAGCATCATTAATTTTGATCCAATACTACAATTTTCTAGCACACAAATTTGAGATGTGATGATGGATTTATAACAGAGCAACTTCAAGACAAAACATATAAGCCAGAACTGTCATATCCCAGTGGTCAATTTCCTTTTTCAATGGCTATATATTTGGAAAGTGACGACAACAATATCAAGAAGCTATTAATGGTTCTCCTGGCAAAGAGAACTGTGGAAGACCAAATTTAAGCACATTAAAGCCAAAACTAAAAAGCTCCAGACATGAAATCCCTTTATGTCAGCTCTATGTCAAAGCACCAGAAGCACACAAAAAGAACATCCTAAAGAGCTGTCCCCGCGAAATAACATAAAGAGCTGCAGCTTAAAGGAGGAGGACTTAACTTACTATTAATACATTATTCAAGAAGAAATCACATATTACATTAAAGAGACTGCACAAAAACTTCAGGGTGGACCGAAACAAACCTTAACATGCACTTCTTCCATGTAGAGGCTCCCAGCAAGCAGAGGAGGAGTACAGGCCTTGTCCATCATGGATCCAACACCAACTTTGCTTCCAGCAGAACTATCAAATATTGATACACGGCAAGTAACTGGGGTTGTGCCATCTGGAAACTCAAGAGGTAGTTCCGCTTTTGAAGTGGAAAAAGAGAGAAAGAAAGGAAAAAGTTATTTATACCAGAGTAAATAATTTGAGTCTGCACAAGTGTGAAAAAAACGAAAATAACCAGAAATACCTTCACCATCACGGCAGCAATCTGTATACTGGGAGGGAATTGGAAAAGCAAACGACAATCCCTGCAAAGTTGCCATCTATCAGAATCCTCAACACAGAACTAAATGATGGATAATTGAATAAGAGCCTCTTTGGATTGGCTTATTTTAGGTGCCTTAAGCCAAAATAGCTTTTAAGCACTTTTGTAGTGTTTGGGTGAAATAAATAAGTGCTTTAAACACTTATTTATTAAGCCAAACAATAAAAAAAAGCCAAAAGCCGCAAGTCAGATTTAAACGTGGCATTCAATAGACAATGGACAAACATACTGGATAAAATAAAGTGTAAACTCCTCTGTCCTTGTCATATGTTCCTGGATAGGTTGGTCCAAAAAGAGAATAGACGGCTACAAAAGTGGCCAAAGTGGACGGCCCGCTGAAAGAAATAAATCAAAAGACAATATTTAAATCACCAGAAATGTTGGGAGGTGTTACCACAGCATCATGAAAACCTACCAATCTAGACAGTTGTGTAAGTAAACACTATGAAAACCTACCCTATTACAGAGGTGGCATAGCGCATCTGAAGCCTTTTTACATCAAATATTTCAATAAGGCGCAGTCTCTGAAACAGGTAGACATGAGGGTGTAAGGACATACTTGAAAAAATGTTTCTAATTCATTATGCAAGTAGAAAGCTCTTGAGCCAATTTATAAAGGAAATAAATCTTATAAAAGAGAAACTTACGAAAAAAATAAGTTCATGTCTTCATGATAAAGTAAATTGCAAGAGAATAAATTTAAAAGAGAGTCACATAATTTTAGAAATATTTCCAAAAGGTAATGCCTTTTCCGGGCCTATCCCCCCTTCGCCTATCGCTTTCTTGAGTTGTTAAACTTGCACCTAAGGGATTCATTTTTCCTGAAAGGAAATTTACACAACTCATTCCATCCAAAATCACGTTCTATTTAAGAGATGTACATGATCGAGGAAACTAGTTAGGAGATGTATTCATGTTATTAATACTTCCCCAAGTATGTTCTTTTTTTTAGAGCAAATCGAAAGGAATTTCCTTAATGTGCACTGAGGTGTTAATTGGTAAAAGGTCTTTACATAGAGCCTCCAAAAAACTATTCGACAATCAACAAATAATAATGGAATCTCTTTTTATTACAGGTAAAACAAGGTAACTAATGATCTTCAGCATCCATCTTTCAACTCCTTCAAGTATTCTCCATATCATACAAAAAAGGCATCACAATGCTATTTCAAAATTTCCTCCTTTCCTGCCGGGTTTTCCTCAAACTCCACATTGCAAGGGTGTTTTCAACTTTTCAAGGAAGTAAATCATGCAATACACCAAAACTCTTACTTCCACTGCATATTGCATAGTGTAATGAAGGAGCACAAGATTAGTGTATTCACCCTTTTTCTTGTACATGCTACACTGATCAATATTATGTAACTCCTCCTTTTCAAATTGCTTCAACCTAAGGATAACGTCCCATGAAGCGAACCAAGCAAAGAAAGCTAACTCTTAGCAATTTTTTAAACCATCCAGATAAATATACTAAGGTTTCACCAGGCAGCTCCCTCGCACCCCAATGTCAGCTTTGGATGCCATCCGATGCTTCCATTCTTTAGCCACTAAACTACTAGTTTCCAAGAAAAATACTTCATTTCTTTTGACTATCAATCTTTTATGGGCTTATGAAAGATATATCCCAAGAAATTCCACATGTATCATTCCTGAGTAGATCTGATATGGACCTCCACATTATTGTACTTAAGTAAAAATGAGGATACTTTATCTTCAGCGTTACCTTCCGGAACCAATATCAACTATGATTGCCTTTCCTTCAATGAATTAAATGCATTTCTTAAAATCTATCTTTCCCTTCATTATTCCTTTCGATGAGAAGATGAATTCTCTCTCCATAAAGGACACAACCAATGAGATAACCAATAAGGTAACGAGGATAAAGACAAAAGATGAATTCACCAATACATTTCACTATCTTGAAGATCTCTCAGCACTATTTCCCGAATTTACAGCTTAAAACATAAAGCTTCACATTCTTCCACACCCAAAGAAAAGAAAACTCATCTTAATCCTAATAAAATTTGATCGTTAATAGGTGTAGCGGCACAGACAATCTTGCACAACATTAGTAAACTTTGACATTTTTGTTGCAGCATACTCGGGCTTAATAAAATCTTTTGTTCCTCCAACTGCAGCAACGTGCATTTGCTTCTTCATGAACACTCCAGTCTGAATTCAATTCAATGAAGTTTGAACCTAAGAATCTGCAGGCATACTGGGAGAGACAAGATTAGGAATGAGGATGTTCGACACAAGGTGGGGTGACTTCGCGGGAGACAAAATGGGGGTCGGCCAGTGTTTCGGGAAGCGAGAAGCGGAAAAGGGCAACAAGCGCTCGCTTCACCGAAGCGAGAAGCGAAAGCACATGCTTTTTTCAAGCAAAGCGCTATTTGGTATAAGAAAAAAATATCAAATGTGCATAGATAAATAATCAAGAACAATAGAGGTAATACATTGAACAAATCTTTCAGTTCTTATATTAAAAAGTAAATAATAGAAACTAAAAAATAGAAACCAAATAAGAAAATACAAGTAACTACAAGCAAAAACAGAACAGTGACTTGGTCACAGAACAGCAAAAAAACAAAGGTAAAGAAAATAGAGACAAAACAGAGTAGCAAAACCAAAAAAAAAGAGAGAGAAAGAAAACAAAGCATACACAGTAGCATTACAAATAGAGGAATCTTAAATCAGAAGAAACAAAGACAGACTACTGCTACCCAAGAAGCATTACAAACAGCAAATTGAAGGGAAAAAAACCTAGTTATTGCGCAGCAGAGAAACAGAAGGAGAAGAAGAAGAACTATTTTATAAGCTGAGTATTTTTACAGAGAGTCCAACAGCAGTTGACAAAAGAAGAAAAATATTTGGTAAAAACTTATGCAAGTATTTTAAAGAAATTTAAAAAAAAAACTAGTTAGCGTTTATCTCTAAAAAGAGAGCTTTTTCTTGCATTAATAAGCAGCACGCTTCCCGCTTCTAGGACAGAAGCTCGCGCTTCTTCACCATAATGTCACTTCAAGGCATTAGAGCGACAGCCTGTCACTTTGCGCCTCGCTTTAAGCGAGCGCTTCGGCGCATTTAACAACACTTCATGGGAAAGTGAGTCTGAGATGATTCAAGCACGTGAAAAAGAGTGATGCAAATGTCCTGGTGAGGAGGTGTGTGAGGCTGGTCGTGAGGAGCTTCGGGAGAGGAAGAATTCGGCTGAAGAAGAATTCGGGAGAGGTTATTAGACAAGACATGGCACATCTCCAGCTTACTGAGAACATAACCTTAGATGAGAAGTTATGGTGCGCGCGGATTAGGGTGGTAGGTTAGTAAGTAGTTGAGCATCATCTCGTTGTCCAGCGGGATAGGTTTCTCCTTGCACTCCAGTTGTATTAGCACTATTCTCGTAGTTTCTAGTCCCTTGATTCCTGCTACTACATGTTAAGTGTTATGCTTCGACTATTGTTTTATTTTGTTGCGGTTATTGTTCCTTTTCTTTATTTGTTTCAGAATGTTTCACTTATTATTATGATGTCAAATAACTTTTCTCTTTTGATTTTTGATTCGATATGCTTTAACTGAACAAAGGGTCTTCCGTAAACAGTCTCTCTATCTCCACGAGGTAGGGATAGGTTTGTGTACATTCTATCCTCCTCAGACCCCACTTGAGAGATTTCACCACGTATGTTCTTGTTATTGTTGAAGTTTTCCCCTCAGATGTGCATTAAAATAAATGATCAACGATTACAAATAAAGGATACAAATGCCTCGAAAAATTGGCATTGGCATATTGCCAACACATTTTAGCCATGCATTCAAAATTGTGAATTCAGCAAAGAATGAGCCATAAATAAAATATCATTAGCTAACTTGAACAAATTACAACAAAATATTTACATACAAGGCAACTAAATATCCTCATTAACTAGACCATAGTAAGGCATGCGTCAAATCTAATACCTGTGACCAGGAATCAAACCGCAGATGAAATCCATGATCTGGGAAGCTAATGACAATGTCAAGTTTTAAGGGCTCCTGCAGAAAACAGATTGAGCATTGAGTTATATAATATTTGAGATGTTGGTGTGCAAAAGTAGCCACGTCCACAACATTTATTACAGTGTTATCATACTAAGATACCATGTAAAACCTGATAATTTCAGAACCATTTATGCATGGAAACTGCAGAGTTTCAGCAATTTAATGGATGGAATTCGTCCTTCTCCAAAATATATAGCACAAGCCTAGTTAATCGCAACTAAACGGGGAACTTTACGAATGGCTCTTACTGCAAAATAGATTATGGCTCAGTTGATCGCATCTAATAGGGTATTTTTCTATTTAATCAACAAAAGTACCAAGTATGTGACTTAACATAACACTAAATAACACAAAAAGGATCATTATAAACGCATAATCAGCACTCCGTGAACTGATTGTTTTGAACTTCAAAGCAACTAATTTTTCATAAAGTAAAGTTGATTTAAAATGACTAGGGTACAAAAATTGATGTCACCATAATAAGGAAAACATATTAACCTAAACAAATAGAAGTTGTAAAATTGACCTAAAAAATATTATCCACCCTGAATCATACCTCGTCGTAATACTTAACATGGACAACATCATAAATATTAGGCTGCTGCTCTATCTGCGCAAAAGCTTCACAAATAGGCATTCCTGAAATCATCATCACATGTGGAATCAGCTAAGCTAAACCGCATCAAATTGAATAATGGATCAACGAATTTACAAACCTAAACATAAAATGAGACAACCTATTTGACCTAATCGGTAAGTTTAACGAAAAAAAAAACAAATGGAATAAATATAAGTTTACCTAGAGTAAAAGGACCGATTCCTACACCAGGGCGGAGATCGAGAACAATAGAACCCATGGCAGTGCCTTCGCAGCGGCGTCTTGGTCTCTGCATCGTTTCGTTGTTGAATCGGGGGATTGTGACTTTTTTAAAAGTCTTGGAGACGATGGAGATAGATAGCTTTAAGTAGAAGGAGAGGGCAAGCTGACAACGATGAGGCAAAGGCTAATTAATGGATGGTATCTGGTTTATGCAATTTTGGCACCCACCGCACGGAAACGTCGTGGTTACTTTTTATTTTAAAGGAGTTTCGGAAGTGAATTTGATGATTTCGAGGTTAGGTTAATACAGAAAAGAAATTTAGAATTATCTATTGACTAATTTGTCCTCAATAATGGCGGGTCGGGTTCTGGATAAGGGAGCCCTTTTGTTCCGGTTTTCTAGAGGCAGCAAAGTAAGAAGCCCATTTTTAGCTTCATTTCATGTGCTTTTGTGTTTGACTAATTAATTAAAAATATTAAAGTGTAAAATTAAATTAGTGTTTTTTTTGGGCAACTTTCATATATACGAAATATAAAATTTAAATTTGTATAATATATCAAAGTTTGTATAATTGTGCTCTATAGCAAACATATATGCGTATAATTCGTTATACGTATACAACTGAAAGTTATGCATATTTTGCTATACATATGTACAAAGAAGCAATTGTATAGTTCGTTGGTTCATCTTCAGATTTGTATAATTTCGCTGGCAAAACATTTGTATTAATTATTGTTAGCCTCTCATTTGTATAAAATTGTTGTTAGCCTCTCAATTCAATTGTATGTGTTTGTATATATGTATAAAATTAGAATTTGTATATAACTGAACCGAATAGTATAAAACGAGAAAGAGAAAAAATATATACAATTTGAATTTGTATAAAACGAGAAAGAGAGAAAGGCAAAAGAGACTTAGACAGATAATATATAATTGAATCAAATTGTATAAAACAAGAAAAAGATAAATTATATACAATTTGAATTTGTATAAAATGAGAAAGAGAGAAAGGCAAGAGAAACTTGGGCAGAGAAATATTTATATTGTATAATTATAAGTGTATAGGACGGAGATATATGTATTTACATATGTATGTACAATTTTCTCTCACTTTATACAAACAGAAACAAAATTTATACAATTCTATTATATAAAGCGAGAGAGGCGAGCGACAGGAAGCGAGCGACAGGGAGAAAGTGGCGAGCGAGAAAATGAGGGAGAGAGGGACTGACAAACAGTTTGCTATAAAAAACAAATAAATCAAAGATAGTTACTGTATTTATTTTATATTATTAGTTTGTCATTGTATACAATTATCCTTTTTTTTTATCGTTAGATTGTCTCACGTGTGATTCATATTTTGTTAATTTTTTTACAAATACTACCATTTGTTTTGGAAGTAATAGTAACCCATTGTTTCCATGCAATTGTTTAAGATAATAAATGTCTAATTATTGTGTTTTTTCTTCTACTAAATAAGATTTTTATTTCAATATTCACTTTCAAATGTTTTGGCCTACAACTTCTTCCTTTAACCTGTTCGTGAAAGTACATTGAATGTGCTATTACTTTTGAAGAATGAACTATTTAATTTAATCATGAAAATCCTATCATTTTGCTAGTGAGATTTTAATTTAAAACTATACACATATCCGTTTAAATAATTATTAGAATGGATAATTATTGAGCTAGCTGATACCTTTTTTGGATATGTTTAAAAGTAATCCATTAAAGGACTTCTTAATATTTGAAAATTTCCTCTTATTACTTCAAAAATTCGAGTATTACCACTATAATCAATTTTGAGCTTCACATAATGTGTAGACTTTATATGGGCCCAAGCCAACAGCAATCAAGCACCAAACCCAGCTACACTCGATTCATCGAATGAGCCCAATACAGTGTACCCGCACAACCCATAAAATTGACCCGCTGAATCCATTTATGTTTGAGCAAATATTGATTTCATTATGGTCGTCATAGAAGGTGAGAATGGTCAAGGAGCAAATATATCAAATCTTGGATCAGATATATTATTATAGTACAATTGTAACAAAAGGTAGTAGATACTCTTGTCTCAATTAGTAGCTTAAAATGGAAAAGATTGTGATCTATAAATGTTAACTAGCCTTTTTATGTACTCTAATAACCAGGTTGTGTTTTGTCATGGACAAGTTAGGAATATTAGAGTAGAATTGGTTCCTATTGGTAAACTATATATGTTAATTGTTAGAAAACTTTAGTTTGGTCCCATCTAACTTGGATTATAAGTTTGTGATCAACTTCATATTCAATATTCAGATGAGTTTCGTAATTTAAAAAAACAATGGCTAATTAAATATAAAGATCACACAATGAAAATGGATAAGGTAATCATGATTAGCTAATATGATTCTAAAATGTAGAAAATAGTAGTCTTGAAGAGTATTATAGATATGCAATTTTTTATTCGTACAAATTATAATTGTATATCAACTTTAAAATAATTTAATTTCAATTCATATTCATTGGTATTTCTCAAATTCAATAATTATACGTTTGCAATAATAAAAAAAATAAAAAAACATGTAACCCCCACCCCCACCCCACCCACCCCACCCCACACACACAAAGAAAAGATTCACATTATAATCTCCGAGGCATATGAAAATATTTAGTAAAAGTACTAATACGACATGTATACACTTTCTTCACGATATATTGATGATTACAATTACTTTTTATTATAGTTAATGATTCTTTTTTTTTCCTATTTGAATGTCTGATATTCACATTAAAATTCAACTAATTTAAATTTTCATTAAATAAGAGTTTATTTAGAAATTATATTCTCTGTTATTTGATTTCTTCATAACAAAGTTTAAAACTGAAATCTCTAAAATAGCAAACATATTGTTAGTGCCTCAGTGGTGTCTGTGAAATTCCATATTCTTACAAAACGAGAAGGAACATTTTTTATCCTTCATAGGTTCTCATTTTTAATTACTAATACTAAAATAGAATGTACGTACACTTGGCTCGGCCAAAAACAAATTATTAAGACTTAATTAATTAATGATTGTTACGAAATACTTCATCCGCTTCTTATTTTGTTTAAAATACTCGTCACTTTAGGAAATTAAATATTTAAAATTATATTTCTTTCTATATTGATAAAATAAAAAAATATGCCTTAAATACTAATCAAAATTCATATTATTTCGCTTTAAAATAAAAATAATATATTTAAACACCCAGAATAACTATATTTTAACATATATATTTGGTGAAATGCAATGCAATGCATGCAAAACTAATAAATTCGTCGTCAACGTAAGGACAAAAAAAAGGACAAGTGTTTTTTTTTATTTTTTCCTTTTTCTTTTTTTGTAAATGAAAATGAAACATTTCCAAGATTAGGCAAAAAGAGTAAAAAAAGAAAAAAATATATAAACTATTCTTCACCGCCATGTGTAATGCTAACTTACACGTTTCTTAAATCTACTAGAGCAAAAATCTTTACTTGACGTCTTGGATTGGTCTGCAATTAACTCAGTGATTTTATCAGATAGTGACTCATATTTAGAAAATTATCTATAAATATTGTTTATATTTATTTTATAATTATAATTTCACCTAATTTTGCATGTTTTTTACAAAATATATTTAATAAAAGAAAAGTATATTATTTCTCTCTTATCAAGGTGTCATATTATATTTTTTATTTTTTAAAAAATATAATTTAAACCAATTTAAACATTAGGTTGCAATATTTTTAAAAAAAATATTATTTCTATTTATGTTTTTTAATTGTTTTTAGATATATAAAGATGATTTTTAAAAATGAATGAAAAAAAGTATTCCATTTCTACAACTAACTACTAATTGACTGTTTTAACTATTTTTAAAAATAAGTTTTTTAATTTTTTAATAATAATTATTACATTTTTACTATAAGTTTTTTAATTAATTTTAAAATAATAATTATAGTTTTTTATGGTGCACTTTTTCTTCTCTTATTTAGATAGATATTTTTACATTTCATTTTGTTGGAGCATTCCCTAAATCACTGAAAGTGTGATAAATATAAATAGACATTACAATTTTTTTATAAAATAATTCAATTTTCAGTTTTCATTTTTTAACCTTAAAAATTGAAATTTAAAATATTTAAAAATCTTTCATCTTTTTTTTTTCCGTAATAGTCATTATTGTTTTAATAAAAAGAATAGTTTGATTTCATTTTTTTTCCTTTAAAATTGAAATTAGAGACATTTAAAAATCATCTATTTTTTGCCGTTACAAGTTTTTTTAACAAAAACTTTTATTTTCTATTTAAAATAGCTATATTAAAATTCTTTTTTTAAAAATTGTATTTTTAGAGCATATTTAAAATGTTTTTTGAAAAATCAAAATTCTTGAATATATGTGGTGCTGACATGTGACGCGTTTTACTTCTCCTATTATATATAAATAGATTTTTTTAAAAAAATAGATAAACGCACATATTATACCTAACAAAAAAAATTACATTAAAAATTGTAATATGAGCTCCTCGGGTTCTTCAACAAAATATATGGGTTACTCCGAATCTTTAAAAGAATTAGAAATATATTAATAATAAATTAAAAAATGTGATATGGCACTTTAGTAGAAGAGAAATAATATATTTTTTTGTGTCAAGTATATTTTAAGAAAAATAGGTAAAATTAAATAATAATTATAGTACTAAAACAAACTTAAATGATATTCCTAGGTAATTTTTCTAACATGGCTAACAGGAAATTACTAATAATTAACTTGAAAAATTAGTTAATTAATGGTGGCCAATGCACAGCAACTGTCCTAAGTGGACATATCATCATTAATTAATCCACTACTTGTTCGATTAATAAGATATTTTATTTTATTTTTAAAAAAATCAACTAATTGTTCGCCGCAATAAAGCCCTAATACATTTCCCCCAACAAAATCTCATTTTACACATTTATTCTTCGGTAACAATTAATATAATCACACTCATCGACATTAAATACGATTCTCTGAATTTATTCATTTTTATTTATTCACGATATGAAAATAGATATGAAATAATATTAATTTTGCTTAGATGTTTATAATATTAAAATAGATGTCTAACAATGTTTATTCAGTTTAGAAAAATCAAAAAATAATTTATTTTTTGTATTTGTTTTATCTTGCTATTAATTAAACACTATTAAATTTCTAATACATTTTCCAAAATATTAAAGTTAATATATTTAAATGGTAATACAATAATGTTATCTT